ACCCTCAGCCTTTTCAGCAGGTCTCAAATAAAAAATACTTTTACATTTCAGTCCTTTTCAAAATTTAGAGGAGAAAGTACAGATACCTGCTCTTAAATGAAGTGATGTAAAAGTAAAAAGTATCCATTTTTAAATCTACTTAAGTAAAGTACAGATACCTGAAATGTATACTTAAGTACAGTACTTTACTTTGTTCCACCAAAGCAATTGACAATCATTTCTTTCTTCTGTTTTATAGTGATATTAAACCAATTAGCTCAGTATGTTTACGATTGTATGTTTTTTCTATTGTTTTATTTTTAGAAAACTAAAATTTCTAGCAACCAAATCAACATTCATTCTCATTTTCTGAGCCCCCCCCCTCTATTCCACACTCATATTTAATCGTACTGTGAAGTTATGTCGAATTAAAGGCGGTTCCAGTTGAATTTTTCTTTTATTGCTTTCATACCAATGTCCTGAGGCTAATATCAGAGTGATTTGAAGCAACAGTTTGTGTGCGAGGGTCCCGTCGGTGGGGAATGTGTGTGCTGATGACATCTACTCCGACAGGAAGGCAAGGGCGTAATGATTAGCACATGTTTAGCATCAGCAGGGTGCCACAATCTGGAGTTCGTCAGGCCTTATGTCTCTGATTTATTTGCTTGTTGTTGCCTCAGAGGGAGGGGCAAATTGGGCATAAAGGGAAGAGAGTTTGTCTGCAGTCTTCTGCCCCGATTTCAATCAACTGGCTTTATCTTATTGTGGACATCTGTAATTCAGTAATGTTTGGAATGTTGATAGATTACAGTTGTTCGAGAGTCATCTTGGACAGAATAATAATGGTAGATTTTATATCAATAACATATTTGTTTTGTTTTTATCGTTAAGGGAATGGTGTTGCTAAGAGTAAAACTGTTCAGCCTAAGCCCTGTGGGCTAAAGAAGAGGCATTACTCAAACAGAAAAGCATCACTGGATATGTACAGTTCTTCTCATCCTTTAAATGAGAATAATTGAAATACATTTTGAATCTTGCTTGTAAAATTTGAGATTACTTTTGGTAGTGTAAGTTCAAATATGTTGGCAGTTGATCCTTACAAAATCCTGTAAATGCAAAGAAGAAGAGAGGCGTTGTCAGCTACTCTCGGATCACTTGACTTCAGAGCCTGAGCGTTTCCTCTTGTTTTGGCAGTGACCTCTATAGGATCTTAGGCTGGATGCACTGAAGGGTGTTCCAACCATTGCTTAATATTCCCAAAGGTGAAATATCCGTCCAGCTGTCCCAATGTAAACCAGCCAAACCTATGGAGAGACATCCAGAAACCTACTCCCAGATTGTCTCATCCAGTCGTAGAGTTGGAGAGGGAACTTTGGCCACTCCTGCAGGTGGAGCTCTGTACTTTACACTGACAGGACTGGTGTTGAACTGCAGCTGACTCATTCACAGCGGCCTATTTCAATAACCGCAACATACTGCAATCTAGTTGAAGCTTGTCTCATTGTCCTTACATTACGTAACTGGATAAGGAAAAAGAAAGTGAAAGTTACAGTGTGGATAAGGATGACATTGGTTTAAGGGTAATGCTACAGTGCCAGGCTCTTTCTTTTTGTTTTTGTTAGTCGTGATAGTACTATTAATGTTCTATATCACCTAAAATGGATGCCTTTGAGCTTTTAGTCATGTTATAATGTTGTTATCTCCTCAAAAACATACCCAGAGTTGTGTTTTGCTTCATTCGCACATGTTTGAATAAGACTGGTTTATTAGTCTGTCTACATCTCCAAAATTCAAAATGCTCTGTTATACTTTGTGACGTCATTTAGCTATTTTCAATTTACCAGCTTTTACCTTTTACCTTTTGTTTAGCAGAGTTTGGTAATTCCAGGGCTGAACTTATTCACTTTTCCAAATGATTCTAGTAAAGGTGTATAAAGTTTAAAAACACAGTGGAGTGCCTTGTGTACTACCACATGACAACACAAGGTGGAACAAAGTGTTTTCAGTTTGAGAGAAGAACTCAGTCACAACATGTATGAATAATAATAAAAAAAAACATTACAACATACATCAGAAAACAGTGTAATATGGGCCCTTTATATATCTTTTCTAAGTCTGGTAGGTTTTATGCAGTGGCTCAAAATGTGGGTCCAAAACCCAAAGAATGACATTACAATTCCTGCCTAGAACAGCACACACTGTTGCTGTGTTCTTGGGTATGACACTTAGAATGTGACAATGTATAAATGTGTTATCTGAGTAATTGGTGTTGATACGTAGGCTGTTGGTGCAAATTTGCAGCAACAAAAGTATGTCTATATGAGCGATTAATAACCCCTAACCCCTAACCCAACCCTAACCTAACCGTAACCCATAAATAATGCTGTCTAAAAAGTTGTATACTGTAAATCTATTGCATTATAGATTTTCCCAGCACCTTGATAGAAATCTTTTTGGCACTGAAAATAATACATATAGTAGAACCTCCAGTGATGCTGCTTTTTCGTGATAATGAAAAGTCCCGAAAAAACAATTGTGCCACCTGCGTCCCTGTGAATCCCCTGCTGAAATGTGGCGTGTCACTTTTAGTTTTAAGTTTCAACTTGAGCTACTCCACAATGGCTGTGACTATAGTTACCAGTGGTGAGCCTGTCCTGCCTTGTTTGTTATGTGATCTGTCACTTCCAAAAGAGGACAAGCTGTGTGTGTTTAGGTTAACTCTGTTGTGTGGGTATTGTGCCTTTTGGAAAACCTCCAAGAAAACAACATCAGGAGAGAGTGCCAAGAGCCAAGAGCCATCACAACTTTTCAGCATTATGCCTTTTAATTAGCCAAACAACAATACACTAATGGGGGTTAGAAATTGAGCTGCAGTAATTAAAAAACTTAATTTCTTAACATTAAGGACGTAAATAATGCTATAACTTTGGCTATAGTTATTATGTCGAATAGTAAACTGCAGCAGAAGAAATTTCGAGGAGACAGAGAAGGGTGCGGTATGCATTATGTCACTGGAGCTTCATTTGCCAAAGAATGTGTCACAGATGGTGTAATGTGAGACAGTGCTGCAGACTAACAAGAAAATCTGAACTTTTTATAGTTTCGTATTATAATATTTTGTAGTGATCTGCGTTTGATGAACATTCCAGACATTTTCGGATATATTTGAATTAGATGCTCCTCAGTTTTTGTTTGATACCTCTTTAGTCCTGGTTTAGACTTTGATTGGACCTATTCTAGTCTCAGTAGTGGAACATAACAAAATAAAAGTAGTAAAATACTGTGCTTAAGTATAAAATTTAGGTACCTCTCCTCTACTTGAGTCAGTTTTAAATTGAATACTTTTTACTTTAACTTCACTACATTTGAGAGTTATCTGTACTTTCTACTCCACTACAAAATTTCGCACAAATCTTTATTAAAAAGCACGACATTTTAAGCTTTATTAGACCTCAAAATCTGTGCAAAATACTTTTTACTCTTTAAGTAATTTTTTTATGGACACTTTAATACTTTTACTTAAGTTGTTTTTTCTTGTAATTCTTTTACTGGAGGTTTTTTGCTCCAGTATCTGTACTTTTACTTGCATTATGTAACTTTTCAGTCCGTGGTCCGTCATCTTCTTGTTTCTATGGATATGTCATTGCTCTGCTTTGAATGTTCTACAATATGGCGTTAAACAAATCTGCCTCATATTTATTCAATTACAGGTGTCCATGATGATAGAAATGTTTAAAGCAGGGTGCGGACCCTCCACCACAAAAGTTACACAACACACAATTAAGCAACAAAACTGAATACTTGTTCCACCACTGTCTAGTCCTGGTTTATTCCTGGGAACTTCTTGGTTCCTTTGAAATGGTGTATACTCAAGTCCAAACAAGTATTTCTAACAACAGTATTAACTCTTGAGTAATTTGTGAAATGTTGTTGCCATCTACTTCACTGTCCAGGGGTGTGTGGTAACAACCTCTGAACAGAATTAGACTTTTTCAGTGTGCACACCTGCTTTTGCCTGCCATCTAAAATTCAAGCTCACTCCCCCTGCTGCTGCTACTGGCACAGCCTTGCCCTTGACCACTGGAGTACTTACATATTCATAAACAGGGCGCTGATCTGAAAGTTGGCCTGATGGTCAAACACTCTCTCCCTCTCTGCTTTGCCAACTCCAGCTCTCTGCAGCGCCGCCTCACCCCACTTTCTCCTCGTGGATGTTTACAAACACAAACCACAGGAATCCAACTGATGAGCCAAAGCCAGCAAGACACAGAGAAAGAGAGAGAGGCCGAGCAGCTGATCACTATCACGTTTAGGTCAATCACGTTTCAAGTGGGCACGTTTCTTTGTCGCTCCTAACATCTGCGCTCTTGAAGTTGAGTTTACAACTTCGACGCTCGTAAGGAAGTTCCCTGGGACCACACTGCAATCTCTATCACTCATCCTTGACTAGAATGTGTGTGGAGATCCGAGCGGTTCCATCAATTTAGCATGAACAAAACATTACACCATGGCAACTCCCACTGGCACCAGACAAGCCAGCTTTTCTCTCTCACTCCACACACTCCACTCGGGGCCAGATTCTCACTCAGAGGCATTCGTCGTAACAGGTGGCGCATGGACGTAGACACAGACGCATATAGAATGGGGATGGACAGAGACATATGCGCGGCTAAACTCAAAGTGGACAATTGAGTTGAACTAATGAGGGGGCACGTGGGGGGGTCACTACCACTTAATTTTTATCCAGTACACAGCCGCATGATGTTATAATATATCTGGAAATACACATCTGTTTATTATGACTGGGAGGCTTAGTTGTAGTGTTATATTGTGTTTACTATGGTCATACTATAGGCCTGTAAACTATGAGAGTTATGCACTTCAATGGCCTGAAATCTTCACACAACCCTATGCAGTTTAGTTCAATCCAGATGATGAATGCCACGGAAAGGGGGGGAAAAAAATGAAGTTTTGGAGCGGGCCTCTGGTGACGTGCGGGGCCTGTAGGGCGGTGTTCGCAGGCGGAGACAACGGCAGACTGGGGTGTGTGAGCCACATCTGGAATAGTAGCTACAGAGAAACAGTCCAGAGGAGCACAACTTTCTGAGACTTTCTGCAACTCTTTACTGCAACACTCATTTTCCAAGGAACCAAATCTCCTGCTTTGCTTTTGTAAGTTGGATTACTACTTTGGAACATTTCGTATCCTTATTTGGTCTGTTGTTGTTTCCATAACGCGCCCATGAACAGGACGTTCTCTCTGGACCTAAAATCCATTTTGGATCTATTATGGGCGTGAAAAGGCAGTCGTGTGATACAAGTCACCGGTTTTTCTCGTCAAGTTTTATTTAACTTGAGTTTTTCGCCACTTTTCATTTGAAAGTAAAAGACCAACTTGTGGCGCACGCATGGCGCCACTACGCTGGGATGTTTTTTTTTTTTTTTTTTTTTACGCAGCAGATGAATCGAGTTTGTTTTCCAGCAGCATGTCCAGATTAGGCACGAATCGAAACTTGTCACTGTTCTATGGTCTTCCTGGTTTTCCCACCAGTGTTTCCGCCTTAACACATTCGAACATTTAAGTTCTAAGGTTGAGGGTTTTCTTTTTGTTGTTAATACTACTTTTAGATGTTTATTTTACTCACAGTAACTTTGTGAAGGAGATTATGTAGAAGTAGCTCCAAATTACAACTGTAAACTTACCCTTAAAAGCTGCAAACAAGCTGTAAGTAGCCTTTAGCTTCCATTTAGGATTTGAACGTTTGGATGTAAGGCGATACTTTCACATTCAAGTAAACATTGCGGTCCTCGATTGAGTGGGCGGGTGGCGCCATCTGGCGTTCTGAGTGTCCTGTTGGCTGTAGATGTGTTGCTCCTGAGTGGATTTGAACTCAAATGTAGTTTTATTTTGTACTTTAGATCTGCTTCAAAATGATGCTCATTCTGCTTGGCGTGCTTATCCTGCACCTCATCATTCTTATTCTCCTTATAGTGTCGACAGCAGCCAGTGTAAGTACTCTTTCAGCATTTGCATTACATCACAGGACAAACTGTTGAAAAACAAATTTAATGTGATCTCAGGCATGGCAAATCGGGGGTGGTTCCAGCAAGGATCTGTGGTACTCCTGCCAGGCAACCAATGGAGGGGTCCACTGCAGACCAGCCAGCAACGACGGTCTATATCCTGAAACTATAGCTGCTTAGACCCTTACAAATGTGTGTTTAGACTAACTTTGTTCTCCTGACCTTTAGATTGGATCCAGGCGGTACAGGCCCTCATGATCCTGGCTGTTCTCTTTTGCTTTTTTTCCCTCATCGCATTCCTCTATCAGCTCTTCAAAATGGTCAAGGGTGGACGGTTCTACTTCACCGCCATTTTTCAGATTTTGGCCAGTGAGTATAACTTTTGAGGTTCACACCCTAGAGTTCTAGTAGTGGGTGGGGTTGCACAATACTCAGAGCATTTAATCTTTCTTCTTAGGTCTTTTCGTGATGTGTGCGGCCATCATCTACACTGCAATGAAACCAGATGATCAGAACATGACCTATGGTTATGCCTATGTCCTGGCCTGGGTGGCATTCCCCCTGTCGCTGGTCAGCGGGCTCATTTATATTGTCCTGAGGAAGAAAGAATGAGAGGAGCAGCGAGGGAGGAGGAGCGGAGCAGGGGGAGCTTGGGGACCCCTTTAGCAGAACATCGCACTGTGCCTACTGCCCACAGACCTTAGACTTACAGACATCGCCAAAATTCAAGTGGATAAGTCACTAACAATTGTACATAAGTGGAAGACAATGTAGTTGACAAAATGCCTGTCATCATCTTGTGTTTACCATCAAGTGCCTTAAATTTCACATTTCAATTGTTGCTGAGGTATCGACTGGTGTTGCATGCTAGAAACTTTTTAAATTTGAGATACAACAGTACAGTGGTGTACATAGTGTCTGTGGTTTTTAGACATATTTATAACATTGTAACATTACAATTGTTTTGTACATAGTCTTGTCAAGTTAACATTTGTCTAATTGCTTTTGTATGTGATAGAGTTTGTCTCTCACAGATCATGCAGCTGTGCCAAAGAAATGATAATGCTTCCATTTGCCAGATTATCAAGCTTCTTAAACTGTCTTATTTCTGAGTGTTTTTGTGTTTTACTCTTAGTTAGAATCTGTTTTTATTGAAGGAAAAAAGAAAGGAACAACACGTGTTAATTCGCTCATGAAGTTTTTTTTCTTCTTAATAGTACTTGATATGTCAAAATATATTTTTTTGCATTTCCTACTCATTTTTTTTTGAAAATGGTGCTTTTTTATCTACATTTATTGAAATGTATAGCTTTTGTGTTATGCCGTGTGTCATGCATTGTGATTAATTTGCATTGTACAAACCCAAGTTTGCATTTTTGTCAATATTCTTCTAAATAAACAATATAAAAATAATATATATTTCATGTTTATTTGCATATTTTTGACTGCACAAAATAATCTTACGTGTTGGTTCAATCTACAATATTGCTTTGTACAATTACCAGTTAGAAAAGACTGCAAACATGTATTTACAAAGAAATGCAATATATAGTATTATTCATATTTCATATTTTGTCTTGCATCATATACGTGTACAATGTATATGTTTTATATCTCTCTCTCTCTCTCTCTCTCTCTCTCTCTCTCTCTCTCTCTCTCTCTCTCTCTCTCTCTATATATATATATATATATATATATATATATATATATATATATATATATACATATATATATATATAATAGATAGATAGATAGATAGATAGATATAGATATAGATATAGATAGATAGATATTATATTAAATTTTGTATTTATATTGTAAGACACATTCAGGATAGAAGTATGTAAATACAGAATACTGCAATTCATGTTGATTGCAGAGACACGCCACTAGGCGGAGACTCTAACTTACAAATACGCTCACCATTCAGTACAGTTCCTAAAATTGCCATAAAGCAACTGTAAGGTATACTTTGTGAGTCGTTTCCATTCCATATTTATCTGCAGTCCCCTTTAACAACATTAGAATAATAACAAGACTGAAAAAAAGTTGTTAAGATAAAATATAATGCCTGCAATGTCAACAAATGATTGAAGAAACACACATTTCAGGTCATAATAATATGAATTAGCCTAAAAACAAGACTGATGATGGTTGAACAGTGTTCTGTTGTTAAACATAACAATGTGTCATTTGTACAACATATAAACTATTCTATGACCTGTTGCTACTGAGTTACCCTCAGGTTGACACAGTTTCATGCAAGGAAAGGTGGCTGTATTGTTTTCCTTTCAAGAATGGATGAAACTGACTATACCATCTCCATTGCAATTTGTGTTTAACCTTTTGTGAATAAACAATTTCTCTATAGAACTGTACAATAAAAAACAACAACAACTATGAACCTAAAATTATGTAGGGTTATGTAGAATGGCATTTTTGGGCTGTATTGGTAGTGCCATGTAGTGGGTCATGCTGGGTTGCTGGTCTCTGTGTATGTACCGTACAACATAAAGGAGCTGAATATTTTAGTGGCATGCCTAGTAGTATTAAATGAATTGCCTCCGCAAACTGGGATGTTAGAAATACTTGGGGAGCTGGAGTTTGGGAGTGCGCAGTGAGGCAGTGGTTGTGAAGGGACACAAACAATGGACTGGAGCCAGCTGATGAACTTCTGAAGAAACTCTCTTTTCACTGTTTAGATTTGTTGCCTTTTTATTTGCAGTGTCTGTCTCCCAGAACAAACGCAGGCAACTTCAGATCCCAGTAAATGATATAGAAAACAACCCTGCCCATTTTATTCAAGGCACATTTCATCACGCCCATAAATCTAGCAGAAATCAAAGGCGTTGCTATACTCAAGTTTCTCTGCTGTCTTTGTCTTGCTAATTCGCATTAGAGTGTGGCTGGCTGCCCGCTTTGACAGCAGCAGGACAGGAGCTGGGTAAAGTTGCAGATGTGAAAAACCTGGAGGCACCTTTGACCCTTGAACCCTGCTGTTAAATCCCTGCATCCGCCTCAGAACATGCACAGAAATCCTCAGATGCATTTGTGGCACTCAAATCAAATAAGGAAAACAGCTAAATAGTTTTTCTCTTTCTTTTCTCAGCAAATATATATATATATAATATATATATATATATATATATATATATATATATATATATATATATATATATATATATATGTGTGTGTGTGTGTGTGTGTGTGTGTGTGTGTATGTGTGTGTGTGTGTGTGTGTGTGTGTGTGAATAATTATGTCTTATTTGAGTCCCTGTCAGTCCCTGCTATTTTTGATACTTATTTAGTTTTATAATTTATTATTAGCATTTATATGTGACATGCATCCAAATAATTTCCCTTGTGGATCAATAAAGTTTGTTTAAGTCTACAGTAAGTCTAATATTTAAATTATTGCAAGTGTGTCCATCTTTTTGAGTATATAACAACTCTATAGAGATCTGAACTTCAAATTTGCATCTTCTGATGGTAGTATTTCGATTGTTCTCTGTTCATACCAAATGCAAACTGTGGAAAGTTACAATATTGACGTATTACTAGTTTTGTGTACTATTTTACAGAGAGAAGTCTGATTGATACATGAAACTCAGAAACAAATGAATAACTAACTAAATAATCAATAATGCAATAACCAGGAAATCATTCTCAACATTTATGCATTATAAATTAAATGAGTGCAACAATTCACTGTCATTTAAAGGTGCACTTTTCTTGTACAAGTCCAGCACCTGCTTGTGACCATGGAGATACTTGTATACTAAGGACATTGCTTTTCCCTATATGTACCACAGTATGGCACTTAAAAATAATGCAGTATGGCATTAAACTTGATTATTATTTAATTTTAAGTTTTATATGCATTGTACTTTAAGCAGGCCCAGCTCTCCACAAATCCGACCTGTAAACTGACATGTTGTTTGTCTCCATGGAAACAGATAAACTTTGTGAAAAATGCCAGACAAAACAAAGTTATGCAGTGCACCTTTAAATGTTGTGTTGCATTGATTAATGTGTTTATAAAGTAACACTATCACTGTTAGCCTCTAATACACCTGTCACTATAACCAAACTCTGAGGTGACCAATGTGCCCTAAAGACCTTGTAATCCGGTGCTGGTGGCTAACAAGTGGCTGTGTACTAAACATTTCTCCTTTAATTACACCACAGGCATGTCTCTGGTGTTTTCAGCCATGCAGCAACCCAGTAAATGAAAGAGCAGAGTGACAGTGCGAGACACATCATTTGACGTGGTTACATGGCGGTTTATACAGGCATGGACTTCAGATACACGTCCCAATCTGAGTTTAAGGACTGAAATATGCAGATAATTTAAGAGGAGATATACTAACACAGGCAGGCACATGTGCGTAATTACTAAGTGTTACTGAAGTGATCTATGGCTGATAAGAAAAACACGGAGATGGCCTCACATGAAAAGTTGTTGAGGTAGTAATTTAAGATTGAGAGTTATGTTGACCATATGTGGGGATTTGAAAATGTACAAGATGGAAAAATATGATTTGGTAAAAGCCTCTCAGTAAATTTAAAGGTCCTATATTACACCAAAATTGACTGTGGTGAGCTTTAAAGCCTTGCCAGAATGTTCATCAAACCTCATCAAAAACACACCTGGAGTTGTTTTTTGTTTCATTCATGCATGTTTGAACTTTGCATTATTGGTCTGTTTACATCTCCAAAGCTTAAAATGCTCTGTTCCACCTTGTGATGTCATTAGTTTTCAGGTTAGCAGCTACTTTTTACCTTTTGTTCAGTAGAAATAGCCTATTCCAGGGCTGAAATTATCCAGACGAAGGTGTGTGAAGTTTAAAAACACAGTGGAGCACTTCCTGTATTATCACATGACATCACAAGGTGGAACAGAGTGTTTTCTTTTTGAGAGAAGACCTTAGCCTAAATATGCAAGATTTGTGTGTTAGACATGTGTGAATGAAACAAAATTAATGAAACAGTCCAGGTATGTTTTTTGATGAGGAAACAACATTATAATATAATAATATGGATCTTTAAAGAAGCAGACACAGTGGCTCTGACTATGTTTCATAAGATATACTTTTAATAATAATAATAATAATTTTCCTAAAATATGTGATATGCAGTGTTTTAGTAGATGGTGTACCACAGAATATTTTTAACCAAATAATTGTGCCATGATAAAAACAAAAAAAGTTTTAACAATGCAGCTCTAGCCTATATGATATACAGAATAGCTCTTGCTTAATGTATCGGGAGAAGCCTGTATCCTTGGCTATCCTGGCTACACGGGCTAGTGCCTAAATTTGACCAAAACTAACAGAATTCTGCACTAAACCCAAAGACACATTATTCAACATCTAATTACTGTTTTAGCCATAGATATCTGTGGTCTGAGCTAAGTTTGCCAATGGACAGAGTGCATATGTCAGAGAGCTAAAGAGACCAGAGTGCTGTGTGATGTGTGCTGGCAGTCCGACTGAAGGATCGAGGTTGTGGCCCGATCAAGGGTCAAACTGAAGTAGCTGTGTTTTTTCAACCTCACTGACCCCTCACACTGGGGTCCATAACCACACTGGACTGAACCAGGCTGATGGGGGACAGGGAGGGGGTGGGGTAGGTGGGGCAAGGGGGTGGGGGGTCCACTCAGAGAGGTGTCTTTGTTGTCTTTGTTTGTCTTCAGCTTGGACACCCTTCTCCAGTGACGGATCATCTGAGTCCCAGTGGTCACCCTTGGAAAACAATCCCCCACCCAAAGGTGCCACTTAAGTGGCGGGGAATAGGAAGAGTAAATCCTATGAAGATAGCTCTCTATGATCATGATAAAAATCTGGACTTATTGACAGATATGTCAATATAACTTTTCCCAGTTTATATGATCAGCTCAAACATGTACTTTCTGTTATATTTTACATCTGTGGATTCCGCATTTCAGATTGGCATTTTCATATGATGCATATATCATGGCATTTTCGTAGTGACCCAGCCTACTACATGAGTTTATTACTAATCCTTATAAAAATGCCATAAAAATAATTGCTTCATTTATTTAAAGCAAACAACTTATTTCATCCAATAAAGACGCAAGCTCCAGACCACCTTTGAATTTTGAACTTTACATAAACCCTATTTGTGCATTGATGTCATCATACCACAGCATAATGAGCCATGCCAACTTGTAGTCAGTCAGAATCCCAGCTTGACTTTAAGACTGTTTATGCTGGACAATGGGCAGTGTTATGACCAGCCCAGAAAAAGCTTTTAAAATCTATAAACTCATAAAAACAGAGAGATTCCAGAACGAAGCCTTGTACTCATGTTGTTAACCCTGTCAGAGGATGGGGACATTACACATAGGGAGACTGGGGTGAAACATCTACTAATCCAAATATTGACAAGAC